CTTGTTCTTGTGCTGGAGAACAACGAAGGCGAAGTGTGCGGTAAATTTTTATGTAGCAGAAAGTTGAGATGATCATGCATGATAACAACACTGTAAAGGCAATCTGCAGAGCAACACGAAGACTGTAAAAGGCTATGGTGGCAAGGAGAGAATTTAAGACCCAAAAAGTCGCAACAAGGGCCTTTACTCGCCTCACAGTTACATCTTGTCTGTATCTTAGTCCCAGTGACAGAGCAAGAAGTCTGTCTACACTTATTGCAGTAATTATCAATAAAGATACACCAGCAAACACGAAACCCGTGGCATGATAAACAATGAATAAGTAATAACGAGCCTTCGAGTGGTCTGATGACAGATAACTTCCAAGACGCAAAGGATGCACGACGAGGCCCACTCCCAAATCTGTGAAAGCAAGGCAGCCGAGCAATAATTTCGAAGGCGGATGGAGGGAAGACACCTTCTGTAGGGCGAAAATGACCACAACATTCCCAAGGAAGGCAGTTATAGAAAGAGGGAAACTTGTAGGATAAATAAATATTTTTTCAGCAGCTCCTGTCACTGAGGTGCATAAAAACTCTTTGTTTCCCGATCTTGTCGTATAGTTTCCATCTTCAGTTAAATTCGCCATGATTTCATCCAGGTTTTTCCTCATTCGCTATTCATGTCATAGTAGCAAACATAATGTTGACTTTTGCACCAGGTGGTTCCTATCGCCTCACAGCTAATACCTTCTCTTCTCAAATAAAGAAAGAAATATTTGAATCCATTGAATAATTTTAAATTAATTGATTACATACGATGAGAATATATATTCCGCCAACTAATGATGATTTGGCCTCCAAACACGAAAATTTTTCCGCTTGCATCGGTTGGAAGCTGCTGCAGTTCGTGCAAAATATAAAATTCAGACTTGTCTTTTTGGGTCATAATAAATACACAATGTATACAATATACACGAGTACGGTCCTTCTGAAGAACCACTGAGTTTCTCTAATTGAGCTCGTAAGGTTGTAAAGAGGGGATGAGAACTTCAGAATAAAACAAATTACCTAATATAGTATAGGGGCAACATTTTCTCTTATCAAGAAGGTCACAAACGCACGCTGGTACGTAACTTCGTAATTTTCTACATGTTTCACAAAAAATGCGCAACTGCCCTAAAAGTGACGGCAAAGAGCACAAACATACCTGAGACAAACTATTATCGTTGGACTATCTCATTTGATCAACAAGAAGAAACTCACACAAACAACCACCAAAGGCTGCTCATTTGAACATTTTGTTCGTCTCTCTCCTAATGTAATTGCGTAGAACTATCGTTAGACAACGCCTACACAATTTGAAGCACAAAGCTGATGACCTCCGAAAACTCGCTAAGTAATACAATCACCGTGTTATGACGTCATGGGGTTATTAAATTTGATAGCTGTGCCGGACTATTTTGAGG